AAGGGATAAATGTCGAAATCTCGTTTCTACCACAATACACTGTGTTATTCCACTCTCAGATTATTGTTTAAACATGCAGACTGTTAGATAAATAGAGGTTACACAACGAGTGGTTGTTGAATATGGTATTTATTTCACTCGAGTTAGTTAATTTTCAAAAGTTACAAAAGACACGAGCTTTAGCGAGTGTCTTTCTGTAACTTTTGAAAATTAACTAACGAGAGTGAATTAAATACCATACTCCACAACCACGAGTCGTGTGATCTGTTTCTACCACAATCTCATGATCAGTCGGAAATAACATACACACATGTGTTAGTTGACAAGGCTGGCGAAGTGATATACCCCATATGTAAAAAGTCACTCATTAATATTCAAAAATCCCATTTTTTTTTACAAATCTAATAATTGTCAAAATTATTTTTTCGGCAACGACTTCCTGAAAAATTACAATAGATGAACGACTTTAAATATTGGGAGTAGCAGTATTGCATTAATTTATATAAATTAATCACGGACTATATGCGCGTAAGCATATCGTACGAAGTGTGCCTCCCGCCAAGTGACGAAGACGAACTCATCGCTGTCAATGTCCAAAATCATAGGCCTACGTTTCTTCGTGACGGTTCTATGATTGACGTTTATAGTGACAGTTCAGCCATAGTCAGGCCGTCCAAATCGCGATAACGGGACGTTGGGAGAACGAAATATTTTCCGTATCAGTTTTAGATTTTGTCAATCCTACAAAAAATATCTAATTAGAATGGCAAATATTGGCAAATACACCATGATCCGTAAAAACAGATTAACCTCTTCTGTTTTGATGGATCGTTAAGAATGCAATAATGCTGAACGTTGTACACTGATTTTGATTTTGAAGGTTTTACGTCCGCTATTACGGACTTGCGGCCTTTCAGTAGACAAGAACAGATATAAAAAGGACATAGAATGTAGAGAAGGGGAGAGGGTATAGGTGGGAAAGATAGGAGTCGTCTGTCCTATAGGTACTACAAATGTACAAGGGGGAAAATATATTTTTTCAAGACGACTCATGGGCCGAAAAATGGTAACATGACGTTTATCCGTAGTGCATCAAGATGTCGGACGTATAAGAGAAGAGCGGAGGGATGACACCCCATGAAGACACTGGAACCAGGCAAATCGGTTTAACCCTAGCTAAGATAAATTTTATTAAATCTAACTTTTGAAGTCCGTCTAAAATTCTAATAAATATATACCTAACCCTTATCATAAGTTTAAAATATCCTTACCTCTAAAATGTCCTTAACCACGCCTACTCTTCTTCGATAATACTCAGTGCAATGTGGACACCATTTTAAGTCCGATCCGACGGCCTGTGTGTTAGTGATTAGTGGTTATAATACTGTGCGGTATTTGATCATATATTTTTGTCGTCCTTCCACGTGAGTCCATTCTATATGCTCGTTTACACTGGGATTCTGTTTTCACAACACAAATATCAGCTTTAAGATTAAACCACACTGCAGCTGTCTCCTTGTATCCACCGGTTATCCAGGATCCGGCGCCCTAGATATGAGCCCGAGTCTCTACTGACCGAAAACATGTTCATTGTGTATCATATTATAATTGTTTTTTTCTGTGCGTGCGATGGTATTCAACAAAAGAGCCCTACCTGGAACCGGCGCCCTAGATATGAGCACCAGTTTGTACGGACCGAAACCATGTTTATTGTGTATCATATTTTGTTTGATTTTTGTGTGCGTGCGATGGTATTCAGCAAAAGAGCAATACAGTTATGTAGTACGTCACCTGACTAGGCAGTAAACACAAGTGATGCGATCGAGATGAAACGGTTTCCAAAGGGGGCCCCAGAGAGGGGCAGTCAGGCAACTACAACTTCTTACCGCACTATGACACCAAGTTATATGATTTCTAAGTCCGTATTCAAACTTATTGAACAGTAATTATTCATCATCAGAAGATAATTGCACACTTGCCAATATTCAGAATTTAAATTTATTTAGCTTTAAACATAAATTTGTTGCCAATAAAATTAATCAAGGGATGGGGCACAAGTTTTTACAATTTATCACAGCCTTCTCCGTCATACATTTACAATTAAATGTCAACAATGATAATAGGCATACACGTAAAGTAGATATATTTAGATATATATATTGAATTTAGTACCGGAATGTGGCCGGTACAGATGGTACGGGGCTAAATACCTTCCTACACCAAGGGACAAACCTTTCTGATTTTTTGTATATACTGCCGGGGCAGAGGAGGCCGGGTATTCATATTAGTACTAATTTAAATCTTGCATGTAAAAACAAAAATAATCGTTTAATTCAGCAATATAATTAAATCATACCATTCTATTGAACCCGGTAATATTGTAAATTATGTAAATCCACGGACTTAGATAACACGTATCTCGGTGACCCAGAAAATACGCCGTGGGCCATCACAACAGTTATCCCTTGGAGGGCCTCATGGAAAAATCAGTCTAACCAGTCACTCATCCCTTCCTTTCGCATAAACCACTTTATAGTTATAGAAACACAAATTAAACTCTCTCCAATACATGCCCATTAACATATCAAACTAAGATCATCTGTGTTCAAACTCAGACAAAGATACTAGCGAGCTTGCTAGTTTTAGATATTTATTCATAACATAAACAGCGCTAGCATTTCTGTCGATTCCATTTCAGCTTAACCGGCTATCCGGAAGAATACATGCACCGTACTAACTGCTACGGCAGTTATTTTCTCCTTTGAATACTGTACACCTGCAATAATGATTCCGTAATGTACTCCTTGCGCTATCTTTTGACCATTTGGCAACTTTTCGTTTCGTAGCTGACACGGTACAACACTTTTCTTTCGCTTACTTCACACGGCCAGTCATTTTGTTTACAAAGAAATGGTGTGCTATGCGCATGCGCTAGTAGAGGGAAATCCCCGAACAAAACGTTGGTCAGACAGGTAGAAATATCCATGATTTTCTTTGATTTAATCATTTTTATGAATCTATTTCAGCCAAATCCGATCGTTATTTTCCATAAGGAGTCTCACTTGATATGTTTATGTATTATTTGAAAAAATGACAAAAAATTAAGTTACTTCACCGTGATGCCCCTTTAATCCCTAGCATCACCGATGAGTCATAGAAGGACGAATCAGCTATATGATGTAGGACGAATCAGCAGTATAATGTAGGATAAATCAGCTGTACGATGAAGGACGAATAAGCTGTATGGTGTAGAAAGAATAAGCTGTATGATGTAGGACGGATAAGCTGTATGATGTAGAACGAATCAGCTGTATAATGTAGAACGAATCAGCTGTATGATGTAGGACGGATCAGCTGTATGATGTAGAACGAATCAGCTGTATGATGTAGGACAGGTCAGATGTATGATGCAGTGTTATTAAGGTTTGTCATGCTGTTACAAAAAGGTAGATAGTGCTATAGGATTTTTCAGTCACCGAGATTTACTGTAACATTGATTCTTATAGGTTTTCTTTTAGTTGCACGATTTATCATTGACACACTTTACATAATATTTAATTAAAATTAACCATTACTCCTCAAAATGTTGATATTCACCAATTCAGAGGTTTTACGCACAACTCTAAAAAAATGAAAACTTTCTTCCTAACAAAAGATTGTCGTTTTACCTTGCCAAACATATCTTATTCCAACTTGAAATTAACCACTTAGCAGTAATACTCGTATCATATCACGTTAAAAAGAGCTTGACAGATCCGAAAACTGTGCATGTCGACTAAACATTATTCAACATGAGGCGAGGCGGAATTTGATCCACTGTACAGCGAGTGTTCTGAAGTACACTGTGTCTGTTGTTTAAAACATCAATAACTAAAACGTCAAACTGGCCTCTTATCATGTCCAAGTTCTTACTTGTCGCAGTACTGTTTCAGTTGACTGTCGATGTATTTAGGTAATAAGCTAACCTCTGATCGTTGCACTGATGAATCATTCTGATCAAAATAAACTAACAAAATAAAAATAGAAAACATCTTACTGAGCGTCAACTTACACCGACAGATATAGCAATATGTCTAGGGGATTAAGTTATCATGTTCAATCAATGAGGTATGTGCTACTTTCCTTGTCTTGTTCAGCTTTCTGATTTTGTAAAACCGCACGTAAGCACACAGTATAATTTAATATAAAATGCGCTTTGTACATAAACCAATCAACTGTTTTATTGAGTTCGAACGATGTCATTTACTTACTTAATCAATAGGGAAAGTATACACGTGTATTTTGCATTTTTCAAAAAATGTTAGTGACAATACTTTTACATATTTATTTGTGATATCTTTTTTTAACAACTTATAATATCTTAATGAAATATTATAGTAAAATATAAAAATCCCTGTATTCGGAATGTAGTGTATACTACCAATGCGCAAAGTAAGTAAAGCTAGGGAGAACCAAGCCGCTTCCTAGAATTAGAACAATAACAAAAACCAACAAGTAGATTAGTTGCCAATGAATGCAATAGAACTAGCAAAACATCCGTCATTAAGCCCATACTTTCTTTTCCATATAGTTCAATATGTAAAAAAAAGAACAACATTTATGATTAGAGTCTCCCACAAATTGGTGTTTAAATAAAACCTCATTCGTATCAAATCTGTAATACGTTCCTCTTCCCTCTAACATTACCGGGCTTGCTATTTTCTGAAATTTTCATTAAACACCTTATCGGTTTTATCCATGGTGTGAAACTACAGTATTGGAAATTACCCCGTTCAGTATGACGCGCATACGTCAAATATACTTAGTTAACTGGCCAATACAAGAAGCAACATTAATTTTACTTACATGTACCAAGTTCAGTGTATTTATAGGGGTATAAACATTTTTTAAAACCACGTTTTCCCGAGCTCGTGTGTGGTTTGTTTAGAGTGGGATACGTGTAGTTGATCGTGTTCCCAAGGCAATATGTAGATAACCCTGATATAAAAACGGATGTGTTGACAACTAAATCTAGCAGTTGCGGGTACGGTTCCATCTAACAGGTATGTAAGCGATTTGATAAATCATTTGACGCTAACGATTGTCTTGTGTTAAACAAGATTAACTGATTAATGATTTTGAATATTAGGATCTTAACAAATCTCATTCCAGTATTATAATGTTGAAGTTTAGATTATCTCGGGTTTTTAAATCTCTCCAGAAACAATAAGTAAAGAGATAGATAAATAAATAAAATAAGTTAAAAATAAAACAGCCTAAATTTGTGCCAGACATCGATGCAATTACATATGTAAATATAACGTTTATTTAATTAAACTCTATATCTTTCAGGCAAATATGAAGGGGATTGTCATTATTGTTTTCGTAGTCCTGATATCCGTTACATGTGAGTATACATACACTTGTGTCAGTATCTTATAATCGTTTTATTCTATTATTACTCCTTTTATTTCTAGATTAAGTCAAAAGGAAAACAAATGGTTGTCTCCGTACCCACTTCTGACATTATATTAGCATATACAGGCAGTATTTGCAAATAGCTTCATCTACAACTCATATTTGTCGCCAGTTTAGTTTTTAAAATTCAATTCGTTTTAACAAAACAATAAAACACCTCCGATTAGTTATCAAACACTTGGAAAATCACTTCAACTTACATACTTTTGTGGACAAATGTATACATTGAACTTTGCTTTATGTGTCTATGAGTCATGCTACATGTACATCTCTTTCCAAATTCCATTCCTTGCTTTAAGTAAAAATTACAACATAACAATATGAGACCGCAAAGTCTATAAAGATCGTAGCTTTTGATCATCTCTGATATTTACTGATCAGCAGAAGATAACATAATCATTATTTAAAGTCGGCAAATCGAGAAATAGCAATAAAACACAAGCACCTAAGACATTTTAAGACCGACAAAAAAATTGGAGGAGACCGGGGCAAGTTCCGCCCATTTTTATTTAAGCCAAGGCCCGAACGTGCCGGGGCCTAATTTGATCTTTCGTGTGAATGCCCAATCAACTATACTGCTAAGATCCCTTAAAATATTAGCTCAAGACCAAAAACATCAGGGGTTGTCGAATGTGCCCGGTCTCCCGTATGCAGAATGTTTGTATCATAGATTGCTAGTTAAATGTATTCACAACGATATTTTGAACCAATGACGCCATTTTCTTCAAGTCAAAACTACGGTAGATATCGGTTCTTGTGCGTTACTTAGATTTAGATGCAGTAGATTTTCACCAAGATGGTCAGCATTCGAACTCTGTCACCTACTGACCACGTTGGTTGTCACCGGATGCTCCGGTTTCCTCCCACATTGAGAACTTAACCCTCTGCGTGCTTCCGTCAGAGCACAAAAAGAATGATTTAGAAAAAACTGTTAGGTAGTTACTATCACATAAATTAAGTTCATATTATTTACTTGACTATATATCCATGTAAATGTATAAAGATATACATTTAAAACTAAATTGGAAAAGGGAAAAATTATGTAAAGACTATAGTAAGACATTAAAAATGTTAATAATTTCGTTCACATTCCCAATTGCTATCAAAAGCTAATGAAATTTTAGCTGTGAAAAAAAGGTAACGTATCACAATGCAGGATATTAACATAAAAAACTTGTCCTGAAGCACCGGTATTTTTTCATGAATGTGCATACACTAAAAATATAAAGGGAATTATTGTCGTCTTTATAATATGGGAATACATTCTAGTTCATGTATATTTATATCGACATTTATTATGAATGTGCTAATGTATTTATAAATGGATAGGCCAATTCCATAGTACACGTACTACTCTTAAAAATGTTTCGGTGAGTTGGTATTAGGAAAGAGTAGATACCAGCCGTCAATCTCGATCCAAGCTTTCGTTATAGGAGCACACACGTTCAATGAGAAGTAATAAACCGATAGTTTTGTTGCAAATACAATGCCCTTTACTAGTATTTAGTACCATTGATATGTTTTATGAATATTCATTATATAAATAGGATTAACATAACGAATATATTTTCTTTCAGCGGTATAACTGAGAGTAAACGAAGTGTACGAAACAGTGATATTTCTTTATACAAATGTTAATCATTTACAATAGACGCATATATAAACTGGGCTTTATGGAATTGTGAAAGTAATTGCTAGGATAAGAGCGTTTTATTGCAGAATTTCTGGGTCTGAAGAAGGCATGATTTGCCAATTTGTAGTTCATTTGACCGCTTTTGGACCAATTCATCAGGCCCTTTTAGGAGAGGAACTATACATGCTATTCTATGTTTCAGTTTGTCATTGTCCTGAAAGGTTTTCAGCCAAATGTCACAACATTGGCACATCGTTTTCTGAGATGTCAAAAATGGGATTAACGAATAAATGACGCTTTATTCATGACAAACGAAGTGCGATCACTAATGCTCGCAAGAAACATTAAATCAGATTAACGTATGTAAAGATGTAAGTAGTAGATATAAGGAACTAGAGGCCGGTGTTGTTATCAAATCAGTAGTATAACAAGTAAATACTTTAAAACCCAGGTTTATTTTGTCTTTTTCATTTTTGTTTTCTTCTGTTTAATATCAAATTAACAGCAAGTGTCATGCCGTGATTTATTGTGTATTGCCTTTGGACTGTATATCATTGAAAAATACCCACTTCGTATATCTGATGGATCGGGCAATATGACAAAACGTATTCTGTTTTTTGGAACAGTATGTACTTAATCCACCTTCTTTTACATTTCCGTGAAATATATGTATGTTTTCCACTGAGTGACTGTGGAGATTTTCTTCGTGATTTACATAAATATACGTTGTGTCTTAAGATACAAAGCAAGAAAGTAATTTCATGATCCTTTCCAGTTTCAAAAATATGTTACAACAGTACTAGTGGGTCGCTGGGCAATTCTTCTCCACATTTAGACCCCATGTATCTTTAGATATTTGGTAAAATTACATTGTTTTTACCAGTTTTTCATTTTCTTGAAGTAAAATAGATTCCCATGACCTAGGAATTGCAAAACACCATAATACTCTATGAAACTTATACAGTAGTTATACCACATTTCTCTCATTTATGATTATTTTCTAAGAGAGTTTTTATCAAGAAAACATCTTTTTCAAACCAATGTTTGTACATACAAATCTTTCTATCGATTTTCAGATAGTTATTTAACCAAATTGATTGAAAAACAATGACATCTGGGGTTATAGGGTTAGCTCTGAATATGAAGTGAATATGTTTTTCCAAATGTTTTTAAGATGTTTGGACATTTTTGTTAATCCTTCGTTTTTTATCTTAAGTACTATATCTCCTCCAAATGGACCAATATTTTCTAGTATAAATGTTTTCCACTCTAAATGAAGGTTATTATAACGGCGAAATGGGCGACTCGCAAAAAAACGGTTTCATTACATTAATATACAAAAAAGATAATGAACAAAAACTAGAAAACTGGAGACCTATATCGTTACTAATCATTGACTATAAAATTGTAGCATATGTATTAGCCATAAGATTAAAACCAGTTATGGAAAAAAATATAAATACAGATCAAAATGGATACATTAAAAACAGATTTATAGGCTATAATATCAGACAGATACAAGATATAATTGACTATGCTGAAAACTTTAATATAGATGCTTGTATCTTATTTCTGGATTTCTCCAAAGCTTTTGATACAATCGACTGGAGTTTCATGATTGGCTGTTTAAAAAAAAATGGTTTTGGTGATTCGTTTATATGTTGGATTAAAACGAATATAAGTGGAATCGTTAAAAAACAATAACTGGTTAACAGAAAGACATGTAATAAAACGTGGAATTAAGCAAGGCTGCCCTTTGTCTTGTTTAATTTTTGTAATAGCAGTAGGGATATTAGCGATTAAAATACGACAAAATATAGATATTAAAGGAATACGAATTAACAGAAAAGACATAAAAATAGCACAATTAGCGGATGATACAATATTATTTTTTAAATGTATTCTGATGTACCATTAGCACTTAAAATAATACAGGAGTTCGGTAAACACTCCGGTTTAAAACTAAACAAAAATAAAACAGAAGGACTATCCTTAGGCACGAATAAAAGAAAATCGACTAACTATGAAGGGATTAAATGAACTCGAGGGAAAAGAAAATCTCTAGGAATATATTTCGGAACTTACAATAAAGTGTGTGCCAATTTGAACTGGGAAAGTAAAAAGACAACAATAGACGCAATGCTTAAAAATTGGAAAAAAAGAAAACTAACATTGATCGGTAAAATCGTGGTTAAAAATACTCTCGTTATCTCAAAAATAACATATACATGTATAGCAAGTGTCCAAGTAATAAGTGCAGAGCAAATAAAAGAATTGGAACGCTTAATATATGGTTTCATATGGGAGGGAAGTGAAAAAGTTAAAAGAAATATCATGATACAAAATTATGAGAATGGGGGGTAAAAAATACGTGATATTATATTACATATAGATGTCATAAGGGTGGCATGGATGAAACGATTAACAAACAAGGATAAAGCAAATTGGAAAATTATACCAAAAATGATGTACGGAAATTATGGGAAAAACATGTTAATATTAAAAATGAATTTTGAAAAAATTAAGCAAATTAGAGATCTAAGTAAAAATGTAACAAGTTTTTACGTAAACATATTGGAGTCATGGGTAAAGGTAGGGGGGACTGGTAGAAATAGTAGAGATACATTTTTTGAAGTACATGTAAGAAAGGAGGTCATATGGGGAAATAAAAATATTATGATCAACGAAAAAACATTAATCTTTAATAATTGGATCGATAGCAATATGATTTATGTTGAAGATGTAATTGACAAATATGGTAGAATTAATGAAACAAACAAAACTGGATGAGTGAAACGCTACAAGTTAAAATGGCTTTTCCAAAAAAATGGGCAAGAATTCTACAATCGCAAGAACCGATTAAAACCAAGGCTAATTTTAATAAAGAAAACTACAACGTTTATGATAAAAAACGGAGTTAATCTTAACTTAGGGAAGTTAAAAAATAAAGATGTTTATAGGTTGGCTACTCAACAAAAAAATGTGATAAACATTAACAAAGTGCGATGGATAAATTATTTCGGTTTAGATGGATCAATATAAATCAAACAGATGCTACAATTTGTTTTCAGTAAATTATTAGACAATAAGTATAAAGTGTTCAAATGGAAATTGTTTCATCATATAATACCAACTAGACAGATGTTAAAAAGAATGACCATAGCTGACTCAGAGCTCTGTAACGTCTGTCAAGAGGTAGAAGATTTTGAACATTATTTTATCAACTGTAGATATCTTGACAATTATTGGAGCTAAATGGATAAAGGTTTTTAAAAATGAAGAAATGTAAAAATATGAGACAGCTAAGGTATTTGATATTCGGATACAAAATACAAGAAAAAAATACGATTGCACGAATATAATATTGTGTTTGATAGGTTTCGCGGTATTTAAGACCTACCATTTAAGCGAACAAAAAACAAAGCAAATTAGCCCGATTAACATTTTTAAACGGGAGCTAGAACATGTTTGCAGATTTACGCACGTAGGTAGCAAACGGTTACATACATTTATGAAGGATTTATGCCAGATTAGTCTACATGCATATACTTTACTAATGGAACTATCAGTAAGAAAGTGTTGTCATTTTCATTCATATGGTTTATTATGGTGACTAACGCAGCGTGTAAAGTATGGCTCGTAGTAAGGTGTACACATGTATACACCTTGACCGCGGGGTCATGCGTGCAGACAGTTTACATCAGAAATGTGTACATGTAAACAGCATAAATAACTTTGTTTGTTACTAATATGAAAGAAACTTTGTGTATCAATTACAATCATTATTCACTAGTGCAAGTATAAGCGAATAAAACTTACCCAATTCGGAATAATATAAATCCTGTCACATGTGTAAACATAGCTATTGAATGTAAGGTGTACGAATAGTGAAAAAACACCTACGTGTGGACACTTTATTGTTCAGGGGGCTGATCCCAGGGCTCAACCTTGGCAGCCTCCAACAACCACTGAATATTCGCATATGCATATGTCAAAGATCTATGAAAATGAGAATATAAAAATGCTGAGGAATTAAATTTGTATATAAAAAAAGCCCTCGTTATAATCACCAGACATAACAGTGCGTATGACGTTATCTATGTTCCCATTCCATAAAAATAAACAAATAAAACATTTATATAGCTCCTTGACTATATCCAAGGGTGGGTCTGTATTATGTACTTAGTGATTAATGGGATTCGCCGTAACTGTAAAAATCGGTAAAATAAATGTAGCAGTTATTGTATAAAGGATAACAAAAGTAAAACTCTCAATTAAATATAAATAGAAGGGAATGCGCTATGAAACAAAAAGGTAGTTAGAAGGCAGACAGAAATGAAAAGGTCCCAAATGTTCAATAGGTGCAGTAGATATTTCGGTCGCTTTTGTGTCCCACAGAAAAGGACGCAAAGCCTGAATTATGCTGGAGGTTCCCACGTTAGTTGCTTTTTTTACATCATGTATCGGATAACAGTTAGGTTTATTTTTTTCTCGATCCCTGACCTGCACATGTGACTGATGATACAGTATTACTGCAAATATATTTGCAGTCGTGTGACTGCAAATATATTTTTTGCCAAAAATAACGTTTCACGTTTTTGTTTAACAAAATACGAAAAGTAATAAAAAAAAAACTGTACTTTTTATCTATCAAGAAGAAATAAAACGCGTTTGAAATTGTGATTGTATGTGTGTGTTACAGTTCGATTCATAGTACCTGTATATTTACCGTAATATAAAGAAAACGTCAACCACTAAAATACATAACAATAAAGCTTTCAAATTACAGACGGATCGAAGCATTGTACATTGCACCAGAAAGAAAATGATAGATGTGGAAACAACGGTAAATGTACATCGCCAACAGCATGTACAATATCACCAACAACAACAGCAGCAAGTATGTATTAATTTAATTTAAACGTTTATTTGAATTTTCACATTACCAAAAAGCATTTTCAATTTGGTGCCTATGTACAATTGCTATTTGATCGCTGAACTCCTGTTTATACTTGCCCCAAAAGAAACGTTTCATTTTTGTATTGATAGTATTCCATTAATATTATGAAAATGCTGTAAACTCACACTGTCAAATTGATAAACATATGTGTTGTTTTAATTAAAACTTCAGTTTTATTTAAATGTCTTCGTAACGACATCACTGGTGTTTATCCAGCGTACGTAATATCAAGGTTACAGGATTAATTTCGAGTAAAAGAACCCCTGACGTTGCCCACAATCTGACAATGACGTCGTATGGAAGCATTGAATCGGTTAATAGACCTCATCGGCACCTCCGTCAATAAAAAGTCCAACGTTTGAGGCTGCTGACGTCGACTTATTTTGTCCTTTGTCCAACTGATCCAAGAGGTGCACAATGGGATTGAAATCTGGGTAAAGCGATGGCCAATAAAGCACACTAATTTATTGTGAATGCGTTCATTATGTGCATGTGTGGTACAAAGATCTGCTCCCTGTAACTTTTAGTGTTCATGCTACAGTTGACCATCACAGGGCAAGGGGCAACCAGAGCTCGATATATCACCCCAAACCACGCTGAGCGACTTTGGATATTGCGTCAGGGCAATCGAGATACACGATACGGTCAGCAAGAACGTAGCCCTATCTCGGGCAAACGATGGATCACAGTTTGTGGACTGATTGATCCGATGGTTATTGTGGATGTTGGAAGCAGTATTTTACGCCATAACTATTCGATTACGCAGATGACGTTATCAGTTATGCTGTCCTGTCTACATGACCTAAGGCGTGGCCTCTCCGATCTTTGGACAATCGGCCGTCGAATTCGTGTGTCCCAAAGCCTTCTGTATCATGCCGGTGACCCTTTCACGGCTAACGTCATTAAGCCATGTCATGACTGATTTGCCTTGGATGCCAAAACAACGATGCCTTTTTTTCTTCTACTGACTTAACTAACACATTGACCTGCAATGAAACAGCACATGTTCTGTAAACACTTTTTTTTACAAAGAACAGGTACACAAATTTCTGCTGACAGTACATCCAGTATATGATAGCATAAACAAAATGCATGGACGTCTTATATGGAATTATAATAATAAAAATAAGAAAACGCTTTATAAATCTAAAAGGTATGGGTGATCATTTGTTTGTTCATTAAAAATATATATAGTTGTTCACAATTTCAGATGTATGCGTTGCATAACGGGACTGTTTTTTGAAGCAGTATTATTTTCGTACTTTTCGCAGAGGGATTTATCGACTAATTTAACAATCAAGCGCATACCGTTTACAGCAAATGCCATATTGAATGTTTACTTCGATCTCCAAATCTAACCGCCGATAAACGTTCCTACCTTGAGCAAGTCTAATACCTGTTGGTAATACATTTGTACTTCATGAATTACTACGCACTCTCAATCTTTAAAGTATGGATAGTTTACATCTCTACTGTGGTGGGGATCATCAGCCATTATTTAGCATGGCAAACCGAACCGATACACACAAAATGCGAGTTTCAATGCATCACCATGATGTAAATAGCTGAAGGACTACATGACATCTAAGGACTACCTTCGTACACAACACCACCTATTGGCTGCCTATGATATTCCATACGTTCTTTGACGTCATTTCAAACTCTGTTAATCCCTCATTACTCCATTAGCTACTGCAGACTTCCTCGCGTTCATGCCTGATTCTTTGTATAGCTGAATTATTATTGACAATTATCGCTGCACATTTTCTAACTCAAAGTCGCTCTTACGAAAATTTCAGAAATATTCGCTAATTGTTAGAAGCAAAAGACCATGATAAAACCTTAATTAGTCGAAACGGTGAAAAGACCGGCAATTTATTACAATGTATTAACGATTTCTAGTTTCTTTTTATGTTTTGTTGGTTTTGTTTTTATAATTCATTTTTCATTTCAAACTTTGTTATTGTCAATACTAATTAGCATGTGTTAAACGTTCATTATCATGTTCAAAATGACAATGCCATTTCAATCAGGGTACAATATCAATTTCAAAGAAGAGCATCATATAACAGCTTCAGTGTAATGGAAAACGTTTTTCGGGAAAGTCTCCTTGTTGTCTATTACTTTGTATATAGGCTGAAAGAATGTTTTTAAATAATGGTATACATGTATTTTGTTTGATTCCAGGGTCTGTAATAAAGATCATATATTTTATATATTCCAGCTACTAGTCGAAAACGCAGAGCACTACCAGGTAAAAAAAATTAGAATTAGTTATATATCAAGCGAACAATATTTTAAAATGTTTCCTACACAAATCGACTTTTATGTTATTGCTGTTACATGTACCACTGTATCTTTAATGACACTAGAATTGTTTTATCAAATTATAAAAAAATGCTTCTGACAAAATTGAAGTTTCAAAGCATACACTTCTAGAATAATATTGAATAGGTGACGGATCCCTGTCTCACTGCACTGCCGTTATTCCCATAAAAATTGACCTCTCCATAACACCGTTTTGATATAACTGAAGCACCTTTTGGCTTGCACACTTCCGTTGTCCATCCAGGTAGCTCGATTGGTTTCAGCGACGGTATGACAAAAAGAAATCCAGGGTTCACATCGCAGTCTGATCGCGCAGAATACTTTACATCCAGAGCATGAGTGTTGATAATATTTTGTTGATTTTATTTTAATGAATATAGTTTGCTTATTTCATATTTATTAGGCTTTCATTTATAGTTTGCTTATTGCTTTCATAAAAGTCCTACAAGGTAAACTCTTCTTTTCAAAAGTGATTTGTCAGAGCTATAGTCATGCCGAAAAAATAAGTTTCAAATGCATAGTTTCATTTTCATGCAGTGGTATTGGGATTCTTAAGTTAGAAAACATGTAAATGTAACTCGTTTCGTCTATTGAACTTCAATTCCAGTCATGAAATACCAATATTCAACCACGTGTAAACGCATCTTGCTTATATCAAATTTTAATACACTGCAATAGAAATTTCACACGGGTTCGCTGAAAAAATACACTTTTAATTTGTATACAAGAACAATGTTAACTGACTGTTGTAAAATTAATCAAATTGTTGTTAGAGACACTATCCGATATTATAAATAGGGAAAACGTTTAACAAAACGTGGAACGAAAACAAATGCGCAGCTAAAAAACAGTAAGACAAAAAGTCAGCCTATTTGTAATTAAATGGACTACAAAACGAACTGGCCTGAAATAAGATCCAAATATATGTACCATTTTATTCAAAATTGATTAATGGTCTTCAATATTCAAATAAATTGACATTGATGAGTCTACTTGTAAAAAAATGAAATTATTTAAGTTACTGGAATAAGCTTAGTTATAGTACATATCCTAGTCCATTTACCTTTACTGGAAATAGGTGAGAGTTTCAAATGTTTACCTCTTGCTCTGAAGCTTGTAGATTGCTTTAATTTCCCGCTTGTTAATGTCAGTTAAGATTACTATCTAAATCGGCACAAAAGACGGTTACTGATTTCTTTTGGTCTATTAGATGTTTCGATTATTATTTTTCCTCATCTATAACGCATAGATACATAAAACATACGTCAGAAAGATATTAAGTACACAAAATGGAAACCTTCCCTCTTTTGATAGTAGCATCAATGATTCCCCAACTCATGGTGTTGACGCGGTATTTCAGAGGTAACTCCTAATAACTTAATTTTGGGGATAAATGCCTACTACTAGCGAACAACAATACAACACTTGGTTTCTAAAGACGTAGGTTTATGGTGCGGTCATGACTTTTTTTGGAAAGTATATGTTTCTTCGTGCGATTTGTCGGTTAATGGTTTTGAGTATGCTGATTAGTATGCCTTGTGAATTCGTGTTCGCTGCAAAGGTTCTCAGTTTATGGTAGTGAAATCTGTTGGATTTGACATAAGAGCAATAAAATTCCTTTCGAAACATCTTGTCTTTATTTCATTGTCTTTCCTCAATTATTTGCCAACTAAAGTTATTTTGAGCTCAAATTACGAGTTTGTTCACAAATTGGTATTTTCTTGCTGTTCAATATCTCGGCAAAGAACTGTCTTATTTAAAAAAAATACACCTTATAGAATGAAGCTTCAATTGGTAGTACATTACAAGAAATATACAACAGCATGATCACAACAAATGCAACTATTAACCTTAACTGTTCGACAACACCGCGCATAAGAAAGCGGATCATCAATGATTTTGTGTTCTGTTTTGCAGCGGCACTTGTCACTTGTAAAACGACGTGTGGACCTGGCGAAGATTGCGTTTACACATGTACAGGTACATTGTTATGATGATACATTTCTTTTATTGAAAAGATCGTTATGTTTTCAATTATTAGAAAGTTATTCAAATTTACAGTTCATAAACCTACAACTTTTGCATGTTTTTAACGTGCTATATACTCATCGAGATGAAATTAAGTCGCATCAATCATCCTTTATGTCTTTTAAATCTTACAAAAAATCTCCGATCAAACACATCGTACTGGCAATATATACACATTCTATTTGTACAGGTGAAAGTGGATCCATTAAGCATGGACTGTCCCCTCTGGTCCTGCTAGTCGGAGTCTTAACCAAATTATTTCTGGTCGGATAACTTGAGTTAATAAAGGCGTTCCTCACTTTGTTATTATTCTGAATATATCGTGTCCCAGATAGCATGACGGATAATAACAACGTAAAAATGGACATCTTTTTCGCAAGCGTTGACCCCAATAAAGACGTGCTGCAAGAAGAATCCAGACGGGACCGTTCTTTTGAGCAATATTGTGCTTAAAATTTAGTCTGCTGTTAAATCTAGTATATTTCAAGACTTTTTGAAATTATTTTGATA